GGGGGATGTACACCACAAAAATGAAACACACTGACACTCTTGTTACATCTACTTCCAGTTCTGTTAATAGTACCCCGGGCAAAATTTTATTTGCACGGCTCAGGACCATACTCAGGATCTCCGATTTCATACACGGCATAGGCAAAAACGCAGAGTGCAACTGTTGAAAAACCGACACTGATCAGTGGCACGATCCTCTCTGTCGGGACGATTGCGGCGAACATTGAGTAAGGTCCCTCCCATCAGCATTCGGTCTGGGGCAGTAATTCCCTTGTAGTGACACACTAGTGTCTCGTGTCTGTAGGGTTATGTTCGGCCATTTTTCTCAATATTAGTCAGCTCATTGTGTCTCGTGCACAAAATTCTAAGTGTGGCATAGGAGGCTGCTGTGATGTCCGCTGTTAAGCTTTAACTTTAGCTAGGTTTCAGAAGCCGTCGACTTTCATGTAGAGAGTACAATGCAGGCCATTCTACTTGCGTGCTTCTAGAAACTACAGTTGACCTCCTGCTCCAGCTCCTGCTGGAGCTCCAAAGTCTCTCGAATGGTGCTTGCTAACCCTAGACGCCAGCGGGGTATTACGAACAAGCATTAACACACTTCTCAAATGATGAAAGCAAAATGTATGCCTCTCCAGAGTCCATACCCATCATTTTGAGGCTCCTTTTACGGAGATTCACTTTCCCTTCTCCGTTGTTTCTCCATTATTGTGCGGGCGCGCAGCCCACTGCAGCTTCAAAGCCACTTGCCAGCCAGAATCTGTGGAAAACACTTGCAGGCCACACTAGGCCCTCTCGTCAGAGAGTACCAAGTCCCTTTGCTTGTTTACTACTTATTTCTAGTGCATAATTGTAAAGTCTGTGTTATGTGACCTTGAAGGTCAGTTCTGTGCTACACTGTATGCCGTGTATTACAAGAAGTATTGGCGTCTGCGTGGGTGCATGGCCATAATACCTCTATAAGGATGCCAAAAAATATACTACACATTTATTCGAATTGGACTTCGTTCACTACGCCTTGTCGGTGCAGGCAGTGTTCAACTGCCAAAGCGTCGCTACCAGCCCAAACACGCGCCTTGTAGTGGCGCACCCAGCGCTTATGGCTTATTCAACCACAGACATGCGCGTTTCTCACATAGCATACCCACATAATATAGTTAGTGTCTGCTTCATGCTGCTATACTTTGAGTATTGCGGTTTCTCAAACCCTCCTTCGTGAACCGTGGTGCACAGCATTAGCAGCATTTGAAATATTCCAACGCACCACGGCAACCACAGTCCTTGCGTAGCTCCTTAATAGTGACTATTCAGCATTTGTCACACCTCGCACTGCTAGAAGAGCCAAAATTGCATTATTGAGAAACCCCAAGAGGAAACCTAAAATAGAACCGAATGCTGCTTGCAACCCCGGGCCCCTCTCCTGTAAGGAGCCTCTGTAAGCTGGAAGCCACTGCGCGCCTCAGACAAATGGATTACATGTAGAGCTTTCTGGATCTAGCCAAGCGCATATATCTGTTTCTACGCGTGATATATATGTAGTTCTTGTTTTGAGTCCGTGAAATTCAAAGGGCATGGCGTCTTGAGTCAATAACCGTGCGGAATCACAGTGCGCAGCAGCACAAATACTATCATATAACTCTTCTTTTCAGCTATATTCGAATATCCTAAAACAAATCAGCACAAATTTTCAAAGTAAATATTCATAAACGTATATGTAAGCATTTTGCGTGTGTTTGCTTTTCTGTTCGTGTATGTTGGACAGAAACATTGGCTTCAAAGAAAAAGCAAGCAAAAGATAGGTGCATTTTAGAAAATAAAATTGGAGATTAACATCCAAAGCGCAGTAGAACGGCCCACACGCAAACACCGAAAATATGTGAAATGTGAAAGAAACAAATTAGGAGTCACCATAAAATGCAGAAATCAGCTCCAACATGTCTCTCCCGTTCTGGCTACATAGGATTGCACGTAACGCTACTCATTAGAGACATTTTTCACACGCAAAAGTGCCCAAACGGCATTTTACTTTTTCAGGGGACAAATCACCCATGTCATCCATCCAATTAAGGCTCCTCAGGCAGACAGGTTCCATGCACTAGCTTGTGCCCTTCCAGTGACATCGACAACTTCTTACATTCACAAATTTTGCCAATTAGGCTTTATATTCTTAACAAAAATAAACCAGAGACGGCATTTCAGATTGTGCGTTCTCGTTTTCACACTGGCATTCTCGTTTCCTCCAATGAGCCGAAATATCACTTTTTCTCTATCAAAAGCACACAAGAGCTCTACGCGGTTCATTGGATGCTGGAAAACCCAATAAGGAGTTCAGTAGAGGCACCTTATACCACTGCGACTTATGTATCAACGTCAGGATAATGGTTATTTTGCTTCCGCGTAGGTTTAAGGGATTAAAATCATTGCACTACACGTACAAGTGGGCTAAATAGTGAATAAAGGCGCGTCAACGCAGAGTTTGTTTACAAAATCGGAGTAGCTTGAATTTTAGCGCTTTTGTTTCCGTTTGTTTCCTTTGGTGTTTAATTTCTTCTTCAAATTTTTTGGGTATTTTGGCAAGCTTCTACGATTTCTTCAGTGTTCTTCTAAGAAAAGCAAGCTGATTAACTTTGTGTATTACTACTTCTACTTAGATGTGCACGCGAGCAGTTTACAGGTATCTCTGCGTGTTCTCAGCTGGTTAGGCTGCGCACTGCATCAGAAGCTCAGATCCCAAAAAGAAGATAGGGCTTTTCTGAAGCAATTAAATGAAGGCATCATTCAGTCTGCCTTTCACGAGTCAAGCAGATACGCTTATTGGCTTGGGTAGGTCGCTCGGAACGAAAACCTTCGGTGGAGCCCACATTTGTTTTGAAGTGGGATAACATTTGAATTCTTTATATCTTTTATCAAATTGTTTCTGACGTGGTTGCGGTGAGCGTGCGGGATGAGGAGGACGAGACCCCGGTTGTACCACTGAAGCATGTGGGCCATCTCTGTTCTTGTAGCATTTAGCAGCCAACTGCGGCAGAATGAGAGGACGAAAAACAGACAACCACTCTTTTCAAGTTTCCACCAGCTGAAATAATGACTCGGGTGAACCACGATTCTCAGCGTCATAGCGTACCTTCTGTCTGAGCACTTGTTCCTCTGCCCGGTGGGTGGAAGTCCCGTTGCGACTGGCATTGTGTCTCTCTGGCCTCGAAGTTTTCTGATGAAACGATTTATCTTTTGCCGCGTTTCTACGACAAGTGTAACTGCATAGCATAAGGCGGCGCTCATGCTCTGCAAACTCCCGTCTATATTGTTCTACCGTGGCCACCAGTGGCTTGGACTTTTCCAGCCGCTCAAGAAATTGCTGAGAGGTTAAAGCGCAAATACAAAAGCTCCCTGCCTCAGAGTATGAAAACAGTCTTTTGATTTGGGTCTGTGACAAGGCTACATCTCACTTGGTTCTCTTTGACTATTTTCCAATGTTCCTTTCTTCTCAACCCAATGTTGAGGCTGCGGGGCGCCACTGGTTTGGGCGGCAGACGGTACGGTCGGTTCATCGTATTAGCAATTGTAGTCAGCATCTTGAAATTGTCATGTGCCTGCATCTTCTCCTTTGAGCGAACCTGATACGACTTTCTGGGTCGCTTCTGCTGCTGTTCTGTATTGCCCATGAAAGGTTTAGCATTATCTATGCTCGCTGTTACTGTTTTCAAACGCTCTAAATGTAAGCGATGTTCCAGCTCTCTTGCCCGAATACCCACGATTGGGTTACCATGCGTGCAGTCTGTGCGGCGGTTCGTGCAATTCATATTCTCACCCTTTGCATTGCCGGTCTATACAACTCTGTAGAACTCAAGTGAGAAGGCTAAGGGCTGAGCTGAGCATTCACCTCGTCAGCTCCTCCAATGTTCGAAATGTGGAACTGTACCTAAGCCTCGACACATGAGTTCCTCACACTACACCCATGGAAGGGACTGCCTCCCTCGAGCAGGGTGGCCGCTCAATTGTTCCGGAAACAACCTTCGCGTCACCCGTCAGCAACCAGGAATTGCTTTTTGCTATCAACTTTTCCTCTATCATCTCTCAGTTCGGGTCATTTTGTGGGGCCTGACGGCATTGTCGACGCTCCCCAACAAACAACAGGCTCCTGCACATCCAAGTACTGCATACAAAACAATGCCGAAAAACTGTCCTTCGTGTTCCTGGAGAAGGTATTTCACCGATACAACGGGTGAGTTGTGCCCATACACATATCTTATCCGGAAAGAGCTTCAGTTTGCAGATACCGAGATTGCGTGCCAAAGCCCCGATGCTCGTGCAATAATTGCCTTGCATGCCAGTCTAATTCCACGTTTTCGCATGACTGCGTCCTCAAAGCACGCCCTTTATGAGTCCTTAAAAGCACAAAATTTGTCTTAGCAGCAGCAACTGTATCCCACACTGTGCTGCACGGTTCGAAGTGGTTTCAAGGCTACACTTGTATAGAGGGGTCACCAGCGAGTTGACACACCGCGTGCAGAGAGCGTAAAGCGGTGTGTAGAGCGCACACGAAATCTCAGATACACATTTAACTTGAAATCTAGTGCAAAAGTAAGATTAAAGACTCTATCAGTATGAGATTCCTCATGTGTTGGAGTACTGCACGAGTGCGTCGTCTAAAATACTTCTTGCAACCAGCTGAGCACGCTTCTGACGAGTGGATAAAGCTGGTTCCCTCCGCTCAGAAGCCACCAGCTTCCACGCCTGGGCTGTTTCGAGCATTGGTAAAATAAAATTGGGCTGCCACTGAAGGGTCAAAATATTTATCCCCAAGCTTGGCGCGGCGAGACATGGTCAAATCGGGCACGCGGCAATTCGACAGGCCCTCTCGCCGAGTGACAGTACCGCCATGGTACTTGAATCTCATTTTTGTGCAGGAAAACGGATTCGCGAATATATTTGACCCTGGAAACATAGGAACATCAGAATGCTTCCCTGATACATAGCAGAGCCTGCGGACGGGTAGGCTAAGAATGCCAGAATGGCATATCGGCGAGATGGTCAAGAGTTACGAGCCAAGCGGGCCCCCTGCGTTTGGCATCCTCATGCTGAAATACGATTATCTTCATGAAGCCTGTCTTAATGGACTGCGTCTGCGGCAGCAGCACAACCCAGTTGATCCTGCCGCCCTAGGAATTGCCCACAGCGGGAAATGCGACCCAGTGGCTTTGAACCTGTGATTTCACTACCCACGTAGTAGTAGTGATAGAACAGGAAAAACGGCAGGTGAAAGCTTAAAGACACAAGCTTCACATCGTATCTGACTGGCATCTGACCAGTGGATTCAAAATACTCTCCAACTGTTTGACATTCCTGGGTCACGTCCAGTGTGGCAACCTTTCTGTTTGACGAATTAGACCAAACTCCTTCTAGTGCTTTCAACCAGCCCGAAAAATATTTCTACGAATTCGTGCCGCTCCATAGTTGGCAGGCTCAAGAGGGGACTAACGGTTCGTGTGGAGCACTGTTTTTCTCTCTGCCTCACCACTTGCTGGTAGGCGATAGACTACGTTGCCTCCGACAATCACGAAGCGAGAAGCAATCCATCGGTATCTGCTTGGTTCCAGGCAACGCATGTTGTGTAAATCTATGACGTGTTCACATGAACTCCGTGCAAAAAACGTTCCAGACCAACTGGCTCATTCAGGTCTTCTCAGCATGGCCTTCAAACTCGCGCTGCACGCAGTTCGGGCCGTATACATCCATTTGCTGCACGTTGAACGGTAAAAACACGAGAACTAGGTGGTAGAGACTGGCAAGCAAAGAGATGCATTTGCGAGCTAGGGCGCTAAAAGGAGCTGCTGAAACCCTGTCGTCCGAACTGCTACTGGCTCCAAGTGTGCTCGAGGATATAAAGCTTCAGGCAAGCTATCATATGTTTCTCTGTGCATTTCACCGTCTGCGTCAGCTCAGCTTTAGGGCTACCCAACCTTGTTTCAGCTCTGTATACGAGATGGCTTTCACTCTTTTGCCCGCTGAACGGTGTCCCTACACCACTCCCTGCAACGACACATTGCAAGGTCCTGTTGAACTCACGCCCATTTAGATAGGTTACAGCAACAAGAGAAGCCCCTCGCTCAGTAGCTTGAAGATATCCTGAACCTGCCTTCTGTAGATCTCGTTGGACACAGCAAGAGGCTGAAGTGAAAGTAACAATTTAGATTTCCTCAAATTGAACACCGTTACTTCGAAAGTGCTATTTTACGCCCGAATTCCTCCTGCAAAATACCCTATAATTTCGTCCAGATGGTGAGCGTACTGTGCGTTCTACACCATAGATAGCGATTCTGGCAGCAGCTGCCAGAAACTTGGCATATTTCACTGCCTCACAGTTTCAATGCCTCTGCAGACCGTGGCACTGTATGGTCTTGCGTGAACGAAGCTAAAACGCCTTGTTGTTACTCGCGCCAACCAGCGGGCTCGCACCTTTGCACGACGCAGCTAAACTTGTAAAACTTGCAGCCTCGCACGCTTACTTGCATCATGCACAGCACAAGACATCTATTGACCACGGCTAATGTGGCGTGACTTTTGTGGAGAAAGAGAGCAACGCACGGATGGTAGCAAGTCACTTTCTTTCACGTCTCTGCTAGTGAAACTCCAGTGTTCATATCGTGGGATATGAACACTGTGGAGTTTCCCTAGCAGAGACGTGAAAGAAAGTCATATAAGTCCCACGGTCTAATGCAATGTATATACTAAGTTTTGCAGCGTGAGAATCAAACTTTGTTGGCTTCTCCTGTCCAATCCAATCAGCACTCCAACTGGCGATGGCGGAAATGGCAGCTGGGCAGCTTGAGCAGAAATAGACTCATACGAGCTGTTCTGGATTTTCTCTTGAAAACAATTGAAAATTAAATCAAAAATAAAGTTCGGCTTTCGTTACACGTGGAGCTGCAAGTATTTTACTTTGCGCATCTGGAGCTGCGGCACAAAGAATTGGGAACGAGGATTTTAAGAGTGCTGAGTGAGGCCCATGTGGCTACAATACATATAATGCAGAATATTTATTTGATTCAAAATAAGGAATCGATGATACAATGTGAGCTGCCGTAACTTCTTATGAGTTTGAAGACTTCGCTTAGACCCAGATGCTTCAGCCCCCAGCTTGCCATCGGGGACTGTGTCTCGTGTAAACACACATGCGTATTGTTGAGCAAAATCCCGTCTTAATAAGCGTAGAAATTGCACATTTGCATGTGGGAAACGCGTCAGCTGCACCGTATATGCTTTAACTGTGGGGAAGCCAGTGGAGAAGACGGAAGTTGCACAGCGTTCGGTCATTCAACTAGACAAACCTCGGATGCTCCCCAGCGAAATCTCTGAAAATATTGCGGCCATAGGCCTTTTTTAGCATTAAGGCTGACGCACATACAGATTGTGGTATTCCCAATCCTCTCGTGCCAGAAGCAAGCCTCCTGAAGACGACAGACAATGAGCAGTTTTTACGGAGCTTCTGGAGGCGACGGAGATGACAGTACTTGGGGACCTGGAGCATGCACATCCCTTTCTCAGCTACATGGCATGAAACGCCTAACACTTGGCCAAGTCATCGGGAAAAAACGCCGCAAGGAGAAAATCGTCATGTGCACGGTGCGTTTGCTGTGTTTCGTGCGTGGATTCTCTTAACTTGGGCGTGTGGGAGCCCCTCAGCTTTGCTGCTGCATTGCTCAACCGCGGCTCAATCTTTACAGGTGTATTCAATGATTGGAAAATGGATCCATCTAGATGGATTGATGCAGCGCCTCGTTTGCTGCGCATTTGGCCGAAGCCAGCCCTTCAAGTTTGAAAGTGCGGATTTTCTCGGCTGACTTTACCGCGCAGGCGTATGACATGTTCACGGCACGAGTTGCAGATGATGCGCTGGTGGACATTCAGCTTGTTGGCGACTCGCTTGCTAATGTTGTCATGGGTGAGCTTTCAAAGATATGTTATTCTGGGTGTTTTCCCCAGACGCTTACATCAAGTCTGCTGGTCTGGTGCGCAGTAGGTTGCTACTGCATATCTCTGCTTCATGAATGCAGGGGAGCCCAGGACGACAGCTGTTGATCTGGACACTATGATCTTGTTCGCCAAGCTTGTTCAGAAAGGTGCGTAGTCACCTGTGTGGAGGGGCATCCTCACTGGAGTGGTGGGTATGCATGGCAGCGATAGCTATTCATACCGCTTTTAAGGCTCTTAGCGGGATGATTTGTCCAATCTCTACATCAGTTTTCGGTGTCCCAGTCACCCATTTGCGCAGGCAGTCGGCGATCCATTGTAATGTTTGACCTTCCATATGGTACATATAATACACCAAAGGAAGCAGTTGCAACGACTGTTAGAGTGGTCCAAGAGACGGGTATTCAGCTAGTGAAGCTGGAAGGGTACCTTCCGGATGTTGTAAGGGTACGGTTTCTACGAAACACCGAAGGGGCATCCACTGCCGTAGACTTGTCCAAAGTAGCCACCCAAAGGTTTCAACGACACGCACAGCCAGTTTACGAGTCGAATCCCGTTTTGCTTGCGGTATGACTTCACATGTGCAGGAGGTACAGAGGCACGCCGCGGTTTGTTGCCACATTGGCTTGCTTCCGCAAACTGCCACTTCATTTGCAAGCACAGGTTAGTGAAATACGGGTTGCATGCCTGCAAGTTTGGGGCACATTGCTCATGCACTTCGACTCTGAAGCAACACATACTTTAAGGTGAATTAAGGGATCTGTTTTTTCTCCCCACAGGAAGCACAGCAGCAGATGCGGAGAGGCTTCTGCAGCAGGCAGTTGATCTGCAAGAGGCAGGTAGGTAGTTCTTTCAGTAACACTGGTGAAATGTATTGCTGCAATGGCATCGCCATCGTGCTTGTACGGAATTGCAGGGGCCACGAGACTTGAAGCGATTATGCATGGTCTCTTTAAAATGCAGGCCAGCTTGTAGTTTGGGGCCGATAACCGTGGACTGGAGGGCAGTGCTTGTGTTTATCGATGAAGGTGCTTCCTTCTTAGTACTAGAGATGGTTTGTGCGGAGGCGGCGGAGCTAATTTCCAGGAATCTTAGGATACCCACGATTGGTATTGGTGCAGGTTAGTCACTTTGCGGGGATGGCGTTTCATCCAACACCAGCGCGGCATGCAGCACATGTACTAAATAGAAAGATAATGGACGAACAGTTAGGAGCCTGGCTTCAGCCGCTAATAAATGTTCCTTGCAAAGATTATGAGGCGTATGCATTGAGCACGAACTTCGCAGGTGCCGGGTGTGATGGCCAGGTTTTGGTCATTCACGACATGTTGGGTCTCTGTGGACCGGGCACGAAAGTATTCAAGTTCGCGAAAAGGTATACGTGATGCAATGCTGCATAGTTTTGTAGTGCATCGCCAGCTTACGCGGATAAATCGACGATTGTTCCATCCGTCTACCGGCACCGAAACTGATAGGTCTTGCTTTCTTGCCCAGTGTGGTTCGACGCCACCGTGAATGTTTCTCTGCGTGTGGCGTTCTTCAGGTATGCCAATCTATATGATATGGCGGTCTCGGCTGTAGGGACGTATAGGGCCGAGGTGGTGGCAGGATCTTTCCCAAAACCGTGCAACTCAACCTTCATGAAGCCAGCGGAGAGCGAGAAATTGTCAGCAATTTGCTCGAGCGGGGTGAGAGCTGCCATAGATATCAAGGCTTTACCCTCAGAGGGCAGTACCACAGACATTTCCGCTTCCAAGACAGCCAAAACGTGCTCTGCGGGACTTGAAAGCTCGTCGGACTCCAACGAGGCTGATTCGAGAGAGCCTTACAAAGTTTGTGTATGGGGCGGTGGTCGAATGGGGCAGCTTTTTGCATGGATCATGGCCGGCTCGATATCACCCCCAGTTAATGGAGACTGTGCGGAGTGGCAGCGCATGCAAATGCGGGGCACTGAAGTTACCATCTGCACATCGAGGGAGGACTTGATTGCTGCTTGTGTTCGGAAGCGAGGAATGTTGACTGCACTGCAGTCCGCTGGAGCTGCGTCGTCAGCAGTCCCCAGCGATCCTGAGAGTGGCGCTAAGCATTCCTTCATGCTGACGAACGAAATGGTCCAGGGTGGCTGTTGTGCTAGTGGGGCAGGGGAGCAACGACGAGTAAACGTGATTTCACGCAAAGCGGCAGAGTCTTTGGGCCGAGTTTTTGATCTCGTTATAATTGCTTGCAACTCAGGAGATACTCAGCCAATAGGTAAGCTGACACATGGGTCCCAGATTGAACGCGTAGACCTGACGGCACCCAGTAGGAATTCTGGTTTTCTGCTTTCAAACATTCGAATAAATCTGCACGAATGCATTGAAGACCTTGATTCCCCGAATGCGTGCGAGTTCTTCCCTCTCATGTGCTTACGTCAGTGCAAGTGTAGTACTGCTGTTTAGGAGCCGCATGTGACTGCAGCTGAATGCGCTTTCGGGGTCGCACGAGCTGAAGGGATCGTAGCTTCTTTACAAAACGGGCTGAAGGCCCCGCGAATACTACGAGCACTTCATGACCGGCTATTACTCTCAGGAGTGAGGGAACGCGCTACTTGCTTAACTTCTGCCCCAACTTCAGCGTGTGCATTGCACAGTGGGAGCAATCTTTGTGGTTTCGTGCTCCTTCAGGGCAAACCCTCTCCTCTCGTGTTCATGCCGACGTCCCTTGCTGCGGCTGAGGAGGTATGAACTGGCGGATGAATCGCTGTGTACTCTTAGCACTTATGGCGTTATCAGAGCACAACCACAGATAATAGATTGTTTCGCCTCCCATATCTACACGTGCTGCTTTCTTTCCTGAATCTCAACTGAAAAATCTCGGATTCTCACAAAACACATGCTCCACAACAACTTCTACATTGGTTTTTCATCATCTTCATCTCCGACGTTGGGCAGCTTGTTAGATTGCCTGTTTTCAGACACTTGCACAAGGTAGTTCATGTGGATGCCCAAAATTTCTTGGAAATGGGAAAATAAAGCGCCCAGAAACTTTATCGATTGTTCTCAGGAACCGCTGCACGTACAAAAAGTTGGCAATGGCCATGTGAAGATCTGCGGGCATATGCATCGAGCATCACAGAAAGCTGAAGAGCTGTATGCTATGCTTCGAGCCAGAGGTATTCCGCCTCGCGCAGCTGCATAGAGGCAGCGAGTCCAGAATACACTTGAAGCAATACTTCATCCGAAAAGTCTTTGAAAACTTCGAGCTTTCGAACGTAGTGGGGACGTGTGTAACTCGCCCATTCATAGGTGCGCCACCCAAAGAACGATGTAAACGGCTCATCTGAACAGGTTGCCCACTGGCTGTACTGCTGTTGCTTAGGGGTCTCCTGTGAACTCCTGCCGTGGTACAAGTTGGACGAAATCTTATGGGAAAAAGCAGCAGTGAACTGCTGCATCAACCCTCTCGCTGCGCTGCTGAACTGTGCCAACGGCCAACTTGTGGACCCCAGAATGGAGCTTACCAGGTGTGAATGGGCAGATTTTCTGTCTTCATGCTGTTTTGGAAGTCGTACAGATTTATTTTATGTGAATGCATTAAACTGTTCTTTCTTCTGTGCTTCATGCGCACGTTTTCAGGAAGCTGGTGGTGTCCGAGGTTGTGGCCGTTGCGAGGGCGAAAGGCATTCCGTTGACATTTGTATGCATCATTTAATTCCACTGGTAGTTCAGCTTCCCCTGTTACTTGGAGCTCGAAGTCAGTGCTTGCAGATAAATGTTTAGCTAGGTGCGTCCTTCTATTGTTGGTTCTTCAGGCTTCTGCCTCTGCTGCTGTTCTTGCCGTCGCCCGCGCATCAATGCATAATATTTCTTCGACACTATGCCAGCTACGTCAGGGTCGCTCATTAGAGCTTGTAGATATTTCTGGAGAAGGTAAACACTTCCGAATGTGGCAAACAGAAACGGTATCTTCCATGCGCTTACAGTATAGTTCCCGTCCCCATTTTTCTGGCTTGTGAGTGCTCAGTCATACGAGAAGCAAATGCAGTTGGCCTAAATGCCCATGTAAACAGGCTGCTTCTCGAGCTTGTAGGAGTGCTTGAAGCTACGAACGTTCGTCGATTGACCACTACGCAACCTGCTTCCTAAAAATCGAGCGAGGAACGAGTTACACAGTGGATTAGAGAGATGTTGAGACTTGGGTGAAGTGCACCCCCAGTTTGGTCTGATACGCATGTTGAGGAAGACTTGAGCACTCTCAACACTCAAGCTGCCAGTAAATGGTGCGGGTGGATTCAGCATTCATCCAGTTGAGCTTGCACAGTGCATACAAATTGAACAAGTGAAGTTTTTTCGACAATGAACCTCTCGAATGTGTAGCGCTTTCGCGTAGGCAGAGGCCTGCTGACTTGCGACGGCTTCCCCAGGCGCTTAGTACATCACGGGCAGGAAGCTCGTCTTAATTGTTTCAAACCACACTTATGGACTGCGTACAGTCCGGTCCTTTTGTTGCGCAAATTGGGCTGTTCGGGAGCTAATTTCTTTGCCACCAGAGCTGGAGAATAGTTGGTAAGTCAAGTTGCTTTCAAACAGTCCACCCAATTGTTCATTGGACCCAAACTCTGGCGACACAAAATCACTAGCTGCAACTGTCGCAACGTAACTGGCCTACCATAAGTCGGCTGAGGTTGAAGCAAGGATCACGCAGATTTTGCCTGACGCAGCGAACGTTTCTCGGCGGCGAATTAGATACGATCCACGCATCCCGCAGGCATGGATGCACCCAGTGGACAGCTTCAAGCAGATAAAATGAATCGTTCCTCCGAACCGTTCCTCCGAAGGAGTCTAATGCTTTGCTTGCCATTGGTAACGCGCCTCTTCATGATAGCTGTAGTATTTCTGAATGAATGCATACGCCGACTCTGGTCCATGCGACCCGTACGGATAAGGCTCCGGTTTCACCCCCGGGCCGTCGATCTGCTTGAGGAGTGGCGTGAATATGCGCCAAGCCTCACGCAACTCGTCTGCAGCGCAGATTGACAAAATGCTGGCGCAGGCACTGATGATTTCGTGACCAGGTGGGAGAATTCAACGTGCTGCGGTGGCGGCCCGGCAGTAAACGCACCTGTTCTAACGAAATTCTGTCTATCGCCCTTAATTACGTCCAATAATAGGCGCTCGTAGGCATCAGGAAGGCGGTCAACCTGCAGCCTGTCCATCACTGCAACCCAAAACACGACGGCAAAACGGTGCAAGCTGCATGCATGCTGATTCGAGAAGTATTTACCATGTCACTTGGTGACCACTAGGCATTTTCACTTGGACAGCGCACCTGATAGGTCTAGTTCCGTAAGCTGAAGCCCCGACGCAAGCCCCGGCTTCTTCGTGTAAAACTTCAGATAAATAGCCTCGCGAGGTTGTACCTGAAACCGCCCTCTACAGCAGCTCTTGGCGAAATGAAACTGTGCACTAGGAAATATGAACGAAGGATCAGCAGCCCAATGCCGGCATATGCCCAGTGTAGTTAGCGTTGCTGAGTAGCAGTCCTTAAGCGGCTCTGCTTACGATTATGACGAGTTCGTTTTCCGCGAGTTCCTCCTCGGGGTAAAAAGACTGAGCAATGGGACGCAACTGAATGCGAATTTCCGTGCAGCGCTTCTCGAGAGCCTTGCCAGCCTAAAATAAAGCAGCAACCGGACAGGGCTGCCAAGGGACAACACAATGCATTTCGCTTCTTTCCGCCAAAGCCCGCTTTGCAAAGGGCGGCAGTCTTAATAAGAACTTGCCTTAAAAATAAACGGAACGTCTCGCCATCGTTCATTCTCAATCCACAGTGCGCATGTGCAAAATGTAGGCGTCCGAGAATCGGAGGGGACTCCGGGATCCTGAAGAGCAACACTTGCGGCAGTTCAAAGCGATAAATGAGCAAGTTTGAAGCTCTGCCAAAAAGTTTCCACAAGGGAAATAGTCCTGGTAAGCAGGCGAAACATACATCTAGGTAGCCTGGTTGTGTGCCGTCGGGAGAAGCAGTATACTGCCCCAAGATTGTTTCCTCTAGCTCTGCAGGAGGCCACTCAGTATTGCACACAGTAGAACTTTGAGTTAGTTCACTTGTCATAGAATATCTGAGGAAATAGCTGACAGGTGGCTGGGGGAAGGGGATGACGCTCAAGGAAGGTGTAGCCAAATATTCCACTGCAGCATACTGATAGCAGGCATCTGTTTCAAAACCTTCACTTTCTCATCTCTGACATCCTCATCGCTCAGAGAAGCGGGAGGCTCCATGGCTATCAGCGTCAACAACTGCAGCATGTGGTTCTGCATAACGTCCCGAATGATGCCTGCAATTGAAAAACATACGGGAATTCTGAGACAATCACGAACCAGACGAAAAAGAGTACTTCTCAAATCTCTGACCAGTACTGCACTTACCGTAGCTATTGAAGTACCCGCCACGACCTTTTGTCCCAATGTCTTCTTTGAATGTGATGCGAACGCAACGTACGTTGTGCCTGTGGAAAAGCTGCATGAAACGACTCAGACCCACACTACGGGTAGCTCACAATCTCTGATGCTCCAAGACAAATACTGTAGCGCTGCTGTATCGTGACCTTTTCTAAGCTAGCAAGGTATTTGGCTGGTGGGCTGTAACCAAGGCTAACATGCCTTACATGTTTAAAGGCAACATTAGCAAAACGCAGTGCAATGATCGAGAGGGTCATCTCTTTGCCAAGGTAATGGTCAATGCGGTATATCTGCAATTAATCCCCAGCCACAGCACCAGTGCAAAGGGTTGACTTTGCTGACTGCAAAGCATCCAAAAGCGTACTGTGTCGT